TTGCTAATATAATGTCCAGTAATATTTTCTTTATTTTAATTGCCGGAGGGTACATGTGCTCGATAGAGAGAGAGAGAAAGAAAGCAACCCACCAGCAGTTGGGTGTGATGACATTGGAATCCTTTTTTCTTGTTTTTTTTTCCATCCAGTCCAGATTCTGGGCATGTACACACACATGTGTGTATAAACACACACATACACACTTGGTGTGTTGTTCAAGTGCTTGAGCCAGATTCCTAATTGCAGCTGGCCATTTGTGATTTGGCTCCTTATGCACTGGGTTTAACAGCTGCACTATGGGCCTGGTCTTTAAGTCATATTTTTTTTCTTAATGGACTCTTAACACTTTAATTGAACAACCTACATGTGTGGAACGATGAGATATTTTTATGCCATTTATAAGTAAATGTATGCCATTCATCATGTAAGGTCTTGCCAACTCCATTTGCCATTGGGATTGGGGAAGCAGAACCAAGAGGCACTACACTTGGGTGACTTAAATTCTCGTGGATAAGGCCCTAACTTTCAATACTGTTGCATTGAGGATTGTTAGAACACTGTGGACCAGCAGATGGTGTAATGGTAATATCGTTGGACTCCCATGCAGTCGACTGTGCTTCAAGTCTCAGCCCTGGCAGCTTAAAACTCACACCAGGTGCATGTGCACCCCAAATCCCAAGAGGAGACTGGAGGAGAAGGCATTGCAGCATGCAATCCCTTATGGGGTGATTTTTTACTTTCTGTTTCTCTGTCATTCTCTATCTCTTTGGTGAGTGTATCTGCCCTATAGTAAAAGTCTCTCCAAAAAAAAAAAAAAGATTCTAGAATTCACTGAATTTGGGGGACACATTCAAATTACAGTAGTCCTGCTGTCTGCCTTCTCTCCTGCCTCTTCTTAATGCCCGATGGTGCATTATATATATGAAGGGGGTAGGGAGGAAGGGAAGGAGATAGAGAAAGTGAAAAATTACTCATACCACAATTCCTTTTTTTCCAGTTCTTCCTTCTCTCTGGACCTGGGTATGTGTATGCATCCAGTGTGTTTTAAAGCTGCTGAGCCACGTGGAATCTAGCTTCATCTGCACAAGCACTGTGATATGGAACTGAATACTGTCTTTTCATTTTACTTTTTTCTTTTTTACTCATGATAAAGCATGTGTGCATGCATCTGTGTATATGTGAGAGAGAGGGGGAGAGGAGGAGAGGAGGAGAGAGAGAGAGAGAGAGAGAGAGAGAGAGAGAGATGACAACCCTCCCAGAGGCTCTGATCATTCTATGATTCCCTTTCTTCATCCCATTGGATCCTGAGTATTCTTCAACATGCCTGGAATGCTTAAG